TTGTTATATTAGCCGTCCGTGATTGTGAAAATTATACCAAACCTTATCTTCCAAGATTTTTGGATCCGTCAACAAACGATAGACATAGGAAAGTTGTAATGGATTAAAATCTACAAAACCATATGAATTACCAACTATATCAAAACCAGACTGGACTAAACTCCAGAAATTTGAGGCATAATCCTAACCGGTTTTAGGAGATCTTTCAAGAACCAGACCAGCCCTTATTAACTCTCATTCACGCCTGAAACTCTAGCTAGAACCGATCTTTAAGCTATAAGCCTATCAGAAACATCATCTTTGGAGCTAGAATCTGATTCGATGCATTTGGCCGGTCCAGATTCTTCAAATATATCTATCAACGGTGTACACAAATGCTTATAAGACAATTGGATCAGTGAATGGAACATAAGATAAAATTCCAGTACTATATTGATAAATCGATTTATACGTGTAGATAACGTAATACTACCTTTGTCGCCTTTGATTCATTGAGGTTTAAAGGGGTTATCAATAATGTAAATAATAAAATTGATTTAAGTCCAAAGGATTCAAAGTCTGGAACATGATCAGTTTTTTTTTTCTAGAAAGAGACGTGTTTTGGTTACAGACGTTGCGATAGGCTAAATACAGCTTAGTGTGGTCTTACAAAGAAGACCAAGTGGCCAAGCAGATTGTCTTTGATTTGGCCCTAAATTTTTAGTGTAGTCCGGTCCCTATGGCACTATAGTCGTTGACCACTGCCCAAAAAAAAAAGTCAGCTATGTTCAGATGAGAGTTGATCCTGATTTTGGCAGAGACAATGTTGAGGCAATTAGGCATTACTCAGACTTGTAGGAAACACCAACACCGTGGTGACATCACAGAGACCTTGGTGAATGGGACAAGCAGCTTGTTGACACTGAAGCAGCTTGGTGAATAGCACCGTGGTGACGACCAAAGTTGATCTGTCGTTTCAGAGACACGCCATTACAAGGAATCCGGGTTCACATTCAGTTCTATCTAACCTGGTTGCATTGTCATCGACACTGTTCAAAGAACTTATCCTGCTACTTCGGAATATCTTCCTGCCTTTCTCCTTACGCCAAAGATTATGTATCCAAAGAGGATCTCAGGAAAAGACTAAAACAGATCACCGGATAAAACAAGTCTCTAGCAAAACGTTGGTACTAACAAACTAGTTACCCAAGAGGCCAAGACTAACACATACTGTACTTACTGCAGGTAGAGAGCGACCCAAGCCACAGGCCTACTGAAGATGAAACATGAACTCGTCTTTGTTTGAGAATCAGCTCTCCAAAAGAGGCAGAGAAGGCATATAAAATTGTGGGAAGTTAGCACGAAACTAGTTGGTTGATTTAAACATGCAAAAGAGGTTTGAGATCAAGGCCAAAAAGGTTACAAAATTCTTCTCCTGGGATTTACCATCACAGTCAGTATAACTATTAACATGGGGTTAGTTGCTTACACTGTCTAAAGAAGCTTTGGAGTGGGTTTCATGACTTGTACCACCCGCCAATATTAGACACCGGACAGGCAAAACTCCCTAAGAATGAAGGCTAAAGCATGAAATGAACGACAAATGATTAGCAATAGATGAACAAAAGAAGAGTTAATAGCTAAACACTACAGCACGCAGAGACTCACATAGAAGATGGAAGCATTCAGTAAACTGAGAATTCTACAAGTATCTGGTGAAAACACTCCAGCAAAATCAAAATCATCTCTCGATACTGAAGAAAAACATGAACAGCTAAAAGTTGAGCCTGCAAAGAGAAAACAAGAACTACAGTGTAATGTGCTTTTATGAGCAGAGGGTGATCATGAAAAACAAAAGGAATTTGTTACTCTCAAGCAGCCTTCTCTTCCTTGCTCAACGCAATCACAACTCTCTTCAAGATGACTTCGATAGGCTGGTGAGCATTCTCCACCGCTTTAGATATGGCCTGCCATTTCTCACCATGCTTCGGCTCAGAAGCTACACATTTGGCCAGGACCTCCCTCTGGTTCTCCTCAGTGCCATGTTGAAGTTCAAATTTGTAATACAACGCCCAGAAATCGCCAATACTTGGGCGAAGGGTTACAGCCCGTTTAAACCACGATCTGGCTTTTTCCACCTTCTTGTCTTGCCAGAAGAGCTTGGCGACAGCTGCAGTGACATGCGGGTCATGATCACACTTCTTCATAGCATCCATACTCTTTGTTTTCCGGCGAGGACGTGGCGCCATCTCGATATCAGCAGCCCAGAGGATACCACTGTTGGGACACACTTGCAGAGCCTTTGACATCAAGTGCTCTGCTTCTTTCATGTTGTCATGCCTCAGTTCAGCACGAATAGCAGCTAGCCATAGCTCAGCCGCCTGAGGATTCTTCTTCCTGGCCGAGGTGAGAATAGCCCGAGCTTTGTTCAGCCCATTCACTTTCTCTACAAGATTAGCGAGCGAGAGCCACAGCGGTATGCAGTGGGGACAGTGCGTCAAACCAGAGTCATAAGCTTTCCTGGCCTCTTCCAGATGTTGGAACCGTTCCTCGAGCTGCCCAAGCATCAACCAAAGCTTGAAGAATGTTGGGAATTGCTTCAAGCCTTCATCAAGCAACCTCCTCTCTTCCTCTACATTGCCAAGTTCCCTCTCAACAATGGCTGATTTCATCCAGACCCTCTCAGTCCCTCCTCTTTCCCTTGCTTTTGCAAGAAGCATTCTCGCCCTCTCCGGCTCCTTGTTCTCAAACTCGAGCTTGAAAGCAGCAAGCCAGACTTCCTCAGAGTTGGGAATTGCAGCATAAGCCTCCTGTAGAATAGCACGGGCCGCTGGAACATCTCCAGCAAGCCATTTCTCTTTTGCACCCATGAGCCAGAGAACCTCAGCTTGAGGGACATATGTCACAGCCTTACGCAACAAAGCATCAAGGGACTCCCTACTCCCATGGCTCTTCTCAAGTTGTGCTGCTTTAAGCCAGATACTTTTCTTGGTCAAGAATACGGTAAGAGCATTGGCGTATATTGCTCTTGCGGTCTCAATAGAACCCCTCTTCTTGCACTCGTCTGCATCAGCGACCCAAGTTCTCTTTCTATCCTCTTCCTCGACTCCAATACCAATAGTGTTCTTAATAATTGCCTGGCATGTTGCGATAGACCCGGCTCTCTCAGAGGCCTCAGCCTCACTCATCCAATTTTCTCGGTCAATAACAACCCCTTCTCTCTGCAGAGTCTTTATACCCCTATCAATAATCTTTCCCACCATAGCCGTGTTCCCATTAGCTTCCTCTAGCTTAGCAGCGGTGATCCAAATCGCAGGCTCCTTAGGGAGCTTCTCTCTGGCTCTATTCAACACCTTCTTTGAGTTTTCGTATGTTTCGAGCCTCGCAAGCGCCACCCATAGCTCCAGATGCAGAGGACAGCACTCCACAGCCCTGTGAAGCAAAATCCTTGCATCTTCCTCATTAGCCAACTCAACAACAGCCTTCCATAGCCTTACCGAGTCTGGAATATGCTCCAGTCCCTTTCTCAACACCCTACTCTTGTTCTCCTCATCACGCTCCAGCTTTGCAGCCTCCAACCATAGCTTCACCGAATTGGGTATTAGCTTAACCCCGTTTGCAATAACCGCCTTGGCATCTTCTGGATTGGCCATCCTACAAGCTTCAAGCCAAACATCCTCATTTTTCGGGCACTCTTCACACCCCCTCTGAATCTGAAGCCTAGCTGCTTTAATCTTCCCATCCATTTCCTCTACTCTAGCGGCAGCAATCCAGCCATTGGGATTCTTTGGATTCGATTGGGTTAGACTCTTGTATAACAATCTAGCTTTCTTTCGATCGTCAATCTCTTCATCAGTGGTTCTTTTCATACTCTTCAGGTCAGTTAAGTAACCTTTAGGGTCCACAACAGTTTGCCCTGAGACTGAATCCGATAACCTATCAAGCTTCAGAGACAACACAGTACCTCTTCCCTCACCGACGGCAGTCAAGTCTGTGACGGGCGTCTGCGCCCATGGTGTCTCCGACCCACCAGCGGCTCTGCTCTTTGGGTCTAAGGCCATGACGAGTTCTTTTTCCTTCTTAGCCTTCTCCAAAAGTGTATCAGGAATAGGCACAAAGCTCTCAAACTTCTTCTTCTTGTTCCGTAGCGAGTAATCTCCAATCTCTGGAATACTATCCCATTCATCAGCAGACAAAGTCTGCAATTTCCTCTTCAAATCCGCAAACTGTTCAGTAATTTTAGGGTTCGAAGCTCGGTATTTCTCGATTTCTTCCTTCAGCTTCGCTTCTCTCCTATCTTTCCTCCTTGAATCCATCCTCTGATCAATAGACTCCCAGATTGCATCAGCCTCTTTGTCATCCTCATCGTATTCAGCATTAGAGAACAAACCAGCATCATTCCCTTCAAACTCATCAAACTTCTGATTCTCATCGTACCCTTTCTCCTCAGCTTCTTCATCGTCCTCCGCCTCATTTGGCTTCCCTCCTCCACGACCTACTCCAGGAGCAGCCGCAGTAGCCACGGCGGATCGATCAGGCAGATCCGGAGCAGCACGAGCAGGACCAATATCGGACCGAGTAGTAAATCCTGTAGCACCACGACCCAGACCCGCGACGTAATTCGACGGAGGCTTTGAGTTGAGGAAATCGAGACGAGGTTTCGGTGGAGCCGCTCCTTGCATCCCACCCAAAACAGGTACATGGATAATCAAAGTAGTGAAACGACAAACACCGAGATCGGATAATAGCACCGAATCGGAGTTTTTCGAATCTCCGAACCTACGGTTAGGGTTTCGCATACGGAGAGAGTAGCGAACGAGAGGTTGAGGAAGATCGGTTCGTTGGTGAACCAATCCTTCGAAGACGGAGACGGTGGTTGCTTTAGGGTTTACATCGATCGATAGAGTCTTCCCGTTGGGAATCGAGAGGAACACCATCGTTTCGTAATCGAGATTCTCTAGTCAACAAAAGTGGAGATTAATTTTGCGGTGGTTGTGAATATAAAGGTCGTGGAGGGAATCAGTCGGTATAGTGTTAAAAGGCGGTGGAATATGTAATGGGCTTTAAAGGACTAATTATTTGTAAAGGCCCAACATTATATAGTTTCAAGTTATTTTTTATTCATACGACGTCGTTTAGCTTTTGTTCCTTATAGGACAAAATTTTTAAAAACATGCGGTGAGCGTGGATCGAACACGCGACCTTCAGATCTTCAGTCTGACGCTCTCCCGACTGAGCTATCCCCGCTTGTTGACTTTTCAAGTGTTTAATAGTATAAGTATATGTCGAACACTTTGTATGCTATTTAATTTAATTCTTATCCCTAGTCTTGGCCATATGTGAAGTCTCTTTCTAATTGCAAACTTTTGATACAAAAATTATGATTTTTAACAAAACACAACCATAAATAAAACAAAATGTTGAACAACATTTTAATCAAATAGATAAAGAAGATATATAGATTTGTTTAAGTCACATTCGAGTTTTTCGACTTGATTCACACACGGATTTGAGCAGAGCCAGAGGTATGATTGTGTTTCAGCATCGTCTTCATCTATAAACCGCACAAGAATCTTGAGATAAATATCCATTAAACATTGAAAAACACGAAAGCCTGGAATATATGGACCAACGTAAGGGGCAAGAAGATAAGAGATCAAACAAGAAAAGAATGAATATATAATAGTGTTCGGGATCGAAAGAAGAAGATTGTGACTTGTTGTAGCAAGCAAGCCATGATAGAATGCAGCTGACATGAACATTAAAGCCAAGGAAAGTGATGGCAAAGCTAATCGAAAGGTGCGGTGAACGAGTTTTGGATCTCCCATTTGTGCCCATATAAGAGCAACTATTGCAACAAGTGAACTATGCATTGCAACAGTGTCATATAACACAAATAAAGAGAAGTTGAAGTTATGGGACAAAATGGCCATGCCCAAGTTTGGAGCAGAGCTGTTGAATCCTCCTGGTACTGCAGTACCTGCAGCAAACGTTACAGTGGCTACGAGAGTAGCCACTAGTAGAAGTATGTTAACGCGGTCTTTGTATTTTTCACCGATACCTCTTAGATTCTCTGATCTGCTTCTTAGTGTCATTCCACTTGTTGGTAGCCAAGCAGCACCTCTTGGTTTGTAAGTGGATAACAAGACCATCAAAGTCAGTCTCTGATATTTCAAGAAGATGAAAAAAAAAAAAGTGTATGAACAAAAAATGCATGTATAGTTTGTATATAGAGAGAAAGAGAGATCATGATTTGTATATACCTCCCTAAAGACATAGTAAGGCTGTAGCTTTAACTCTGCAATGTCAAGTGGTCTCAAGCCATCTTTGTTCTCTACATTTTGGATTCTGGTGGTGTTTAAAGAAAACTTAGTAAGGTCCATAACAGTTTGAGGACGCCAATTCATGGTGGCTAGATGCAGAGGTGTATTCCCATCCTCATCTTGCTCCTCAATCAGATGATTCTTCTTTTTATCAACTCTCTTGATATACTTTAAAAGCAAAGATCCAGCTTTCCCACTCTTGGCTGCAATGTGAAGAATGTTCTGACCTTGTTTGTTTAGTAGCTCTATCGAATCTGGACAACGTATTAGAATCTCTTTTACGACATCTACATGACCTTTCTCTACTGCCACATGGATTGGAAAGGAACCATCATCATTGCATTCAAAGACACTTGATGTTGATCGGTCTAAAAGGTTGCATACTCCTTTATAATACCCAAAGGATGCTCCAACAGAAAGGCATGCAAGTCCTTCATCTCGTTCATTCACAAGACTCTGATCTTCGTTAAGAATAGCATCAAGTATATCTCCGGAAACAAAAGGTAAACTTAGTTAGCTTCTTGAGCAAAAGAACTTGAACAGAGATAAAAAAAAAAGGGAAACCAAACCTGTATTCTTTGCCTTTAGAGCAGCATGTACAAGCGATCTTCTCCCTTCTAACCGTGAGGCTAAGTTAGAAATTTCAAGCTTAAAAAGGCAGAACCATCTCATATATTAGCAAGAAGAAGGAAGATGGAAGGAGACTTACAGTTTCCTTCTCTGGCATGAAGACTTCAGTTCACCATCATGTAGAGACTAGAGAGGTCTCATGAGAAGATGATAGAAAGAAGAGAGAAAAAAGAGGTAGAGAACAAAATCTATTGACTTGAACAATTGGATTGAAAGGAGAAGCAAGTTTTGAATACCAAAGGCCACAAAACAAAACAAAAAAAATCATTAGCGTCCCACAATAATTGTGTATTGTCCCACATCATTACTCATTTTGACAAGCCAGTTCAAGTATGAATTCATGAATTTGACTCCAGAAGTTCAATAAGCCAACATGTCCCACACCAAGTTAAAGAAACTTAAATTGGTTCCGCTACTGATTCGTACATCCGGAAGAAACATGTATCTACGTAACCACAGATCATGTTTATTCAGTGTTTCCATATCTCATTCACTTGAAAAGGGTTACAAATTGAAATGTCAAGAGAAACAAGTTATAGAAATTCTCAAATAACAAGACACTTTCTGGCTTTTACACTGGAGAGATCTCCATCACAATCCACCCTCGTAAAGTACTAACCATGAGTTAACCATTAGAACTGTAAACCGTAAAGTGAAAGCAGCTCTCTAATCCGATTCATCCTCGTGTCATTTCCACCAGGCAATGTAAGAAGCGAGATGTACCAACCAAACACAGGATGAACGCGTGGGAGCTGTAGGAGGAATTGAGGGCCAAGAATGAAGAGCACCCAACAGAAAAACAAGTAAGATATAATGGAAATGACCACTAGAAGCCCTTTTACGTGCCCAATTGTAAGAACCACACCGAAAAGGAATGCCACAGGGCATTGAGACTAGAGAGAAAAGAAGAAATGGTAAGGCAGCAGCTACGGATCTGTGAGCGAGTGCTGAATCCCCCCAACTGAGCCCAAATAAGAGTAGCTATTGCTACCACAGAACTTTGCATTGCCAAGTACAAGAAAAATGAAGAGACTAGGGTTAGTGGCCAAAGTTGCCCTACACAAATTTGGAGCAGAGCTGTTAAATCCACCAGGTATTGTAAAACCTGCAGCAAAGGTCACGGTGGCTACAAGGGCCGCCACCAGTAGAAGAGCATTGATGTAATCTTTGTTTTTGTCACTGTCTAGTGGATGTGATGGTTTTGTTAGTGACTTTATAGACTGATCTGAGTCCCTTATTGAGTGAGCGAGTAATAAGACCATAAGTGTCAACCTCTGTAAACGCTCTTTAGCGATCGGTATAAGAGCTTGCATGCTCCAAATGAAAGACAAGTCCTTCCTCCTTCATCACGTTTATTCTCAAGACTTGGATATTCATTGAGAATAACATCAAGGATATCTGCTCATTCAAGTGAAGTATTAATTACTGTACACACCTCTCATCTTTTTTTTCCCTGATGCCGGAGATTTAACCCTCCAGGTTTTAGCTACTGATCTCAAAACTCGTTTAACAAACAAAACAAACCTGTATTCTTGGCCTTTAAAGCACAAGAATTTACCAAGCGGAGAAACAAGAAGATCAGAAAGGCAAGAGGAGCTGCTAAAGCTTGATGGGAGAGAAGAATTATATAAAACCTTTAACGCCTCGAGCCCCATATATGTGGTCGTCTTGTACACAAATTAATGGAAGGTCTTACTTTTTATAATCCAAAGTACATATACATAATTACAAGAAATATATAAAGACCTGCGTTCAAGTCGTTTCTTAATAATAAATTCTGTCTTTTTTAAGTGACAACCTGACACTGTATCCCTACGTAATTGTGGTTGCGTCAGGGTTCATATTTAACGGGAGAAAGAGCAAGGAGCAAGGCGACGGTGATGATGAGGGAGGATGGATCATCGGGAATATTATACGGCGGTGCGAACAAAGTGTTTCAAACTTAAAAACCCATTCATTCATTGTAACAAAGTTTTTGATTCATAAAAACAATATTTACATTCATTCAGAAAAAAAGAAAACAAAAACTAAGCTCTTACACTGTAGTTTTTGAAAGGCATTTTTGTCTGTTTTCCACTTGATCACACACGGGGTTGAGCAGAGCCAGAGGTATGATATGTTTCAACATCGTCTTCATTAACAAACCACAATAGAATCCGGAGCTGAAGATCCATTGGCCTTTCAATAAGACCAGAGCCTCGAGTAGTATTTATGCCAAGGTAAGGGGCAAGAAGTTGGAAAATCACAAACGAATAGACGAGAACTATATTGCTAATGACGAACCCAACTGTATAATTGGGACTTGTTGTAGCAAGCACGCCATAAATGAACGCGATTGACATAGAGGTTAGAGCCACTGACAGTGATGGCAAGGCCAACCGAAAAACTCGGTGAACCAGTTCTGGATCCCCCATCTGAGCCAGTATAAGAGTAAGTATTGCTAGAAGAGAGCTTAGCATTGCAACAGTGTCAGCTACCACAAAAATGATGAAGTTGATGTTTCTGGCCACAACGTCAGTCCAAAGTTTTCAGCAGAGCTCTTTAAGTTGAAGTTATTGGCCAAAATGGCCATGCCCGAGCTGTTAAAGCCACCGGGTATTGTAATACCCGCTGCAAACGTTACAGTAGCTATGAGAGTTGCCACCAGTAGAAGTGCATTGACACTGTCTTTGTACTTGTTAACACCTACAGGCTCTGATCTGCTTCTTAGTGTCATTCCATTTGTGGGTATTTTCTCATAGCCTTTTGGTTTGTAAGCTGATAACAAGACCATCAACGTCATTCTCTGACATTCCAAGAAAGAAGAAACAAAGTGATGAACAAAAAGACATATATGGTTTGATATTGTTGTATAGACAGAGAGATCAGGTTATACCTCCCGGAAGATGTAGTTGGATTGCAGATTTAACTCCGCGATATCAAGTGCTCTCAAGCCATCTTTGTTCTTTATATTTAGGACTTTGGTACCGTTTGAAGAAAACCAAGTAAGGTCCCTAACAATTCGAGGATGCCAATTTATGGTGGCTAAATGCAGAGGCGTATTCCCATCCTCATCTACCTCTTCAATCAGATGATTCTTCTTCCTATCAAGTCCCTTGATATGCTTTAAAAGCAAAGATCTAGATTTCCCACTCTTTGCTGCAACGTGAAGAATGTTCTGACCTTGTTTGTTTAGCAGCTCAACTGAATCTGGACAACGTTTTAGAATCTCTTTTACAACATCCACATGACCTTTCTCTACTGCCACATGGATTGGAAATGAACCATCATCATTACATTCAAAGATGCTTGACTTTGAACGGTCTAAGAGGTTGCATACTCCTTTATAATACCCTACGGATGCTCCAAATGAAAGACAAGTCCGTCCTTCTACATCTCTCTCGTCCCCAAGACTTGGATCTTCATTAAGAATAACATCAAGGATATCTGCTTTAAACAAGTGAAGACTTCAATATTTTCTAGCTTCTTAAGCAAAGGAACATGAACATAGCTCAAATGGGAAACCAAACCTCTATTCTTTGCCTTTAGAGCTTCGTGTACAAGCGATTTTCTCCCTTCTAACTGTGAAGCTATGTTGGAACCTCGACCTTGGACGTTATTCCCAAGACCTTTCAACATTTCTTTCACTAGGTCTAGACCTCCAGCTTCTACAGCCATGTAAAAGGGAGACAATCCATTGTTGTTCTCAAGAAATGAGCCAAGCTTATTCTCATTCACGAGGCAGAGAGCGGTCTCGAGATGCTGCCCTTTCAATGCTGCGTGCAGAGGAGTATCTCCCTCTATGTCCTTAAGCAAATATACATTAAATCTCCGCCTCTCTTCTTCAGACAGTATTCTATCTGAAAAATATGTTATCGATGCAACAAGAGTCTTAACAACAGCTAAGTGACCAGCACGAGCAGCAACATGGACTGGAATCTGATGCTTCCAGTTTGGCTCCAAAAGAAGAGATGGGCATTCAGAGATTATGCTCTTCACTAGTTTAAGATGACCCAAAGCAACAGCAAGGTGAAGAATGGAATCTCCTTTATCGTTCTTGAGACATGCCATTGGTGTTCCACAGCCTTTCATCTTCTCCAGAAAATCTCTGTTTCCCCCTTTCATTGCGCTAAAGATCTCCGGATTCATTGGAATAGATTCACCGGGAAAGTTGTAAAGATCCGACAGTCTGAGATTGGTAAGGAACTCTGGGACAGATTCCGTAGGCGGCTTGCAACAGTCTATTATCAAAGTCATGGGGAAGCATCTTGGTCTCTGTTGCTCAACAGACGCACTCATTGATGCTCTCTGTGCTTTGATTGTTTCAATACGTTCTCCAGTTTCAGTTTCACATTTAATAAGGTAGACCCTTATCATACATTAGCAAGAAGAAGGAAAGATAGAAGGAGACTTACAGTTAGTTTGACCCTAACAATGATAACACCTACAAGGCTACAACTTCCTTCACTTAGACCAGGACTGGCATGAAGACTTCAGTTCACCATCACGTAGAGAAGTCTCATGGGAAGATGTCATAAAGAAGAGACAAAAAGGAGGTAAAAAACAAAATCTATTGACTTGACCAATTGGGTTGAAAGGAGGATAAAGTTGTGATTACCTAAGGCCACAAAAATAAACATCAATAGTGTCCCACAAAAAGTGAGCAGTGTCCCACATAATTACTCATTTTCACAAATCAGTTGAAGTATGAATTCATGACTTTGAACTTCATAAGTTCAATAAGCTAACATGTCCCACACCAATTTAGAGAGGTATCAAGGTAAGTGGTTCAACTGATTCGTACAACCGGAATAAACATGTATCTACATAAAACTGCAGATCATGTTCTGAATTGTTAAACTAGCTCTAAAAAAACACATTTTACCGTTAAATGGCATTTTTAAGAAAATGGCAAGCAAAAGCACAGAGACTGCCTCAAAACAAGGTATAAGCTGGAAGCAAACGCAAAATTCTGAAGTTTATTCATTCATGGAATTGGGAATTGACTTAGCCTGGATTCTTTTAGCCATTGCTGCTGTTGTCACCAGCGGCCAAAACCATCTCCAATTATTTATACACAAGAGGTCATTTTGACTATCTGCAACTACAATCGCAGCGATTATACTGAACCAAACTAAGTCCGATTAAAAGCTGCCTGTGTTTCTTGGTAATCAGACCTTAGTTTGATCAACAAACATCAAAAGAAGCACTTTATTTCTTTGAATAGGGTACAAATCAGAGAAAAAATCAAACCAATCCCTAGCAAGAAAACATATAGAAATGGGATGGCAAATATAACAACGACGAACCAAACTACTTAGATTTATAATTTAGGAACGCTCTGGCTTTTCAACATGATCCTTGCCTGCGATCTTCACAGAGGTGTGATGTTTTTCAGCATCGTCTTCATTAACAAACCACAAAAGAAGAGGGAGAAAAGTACTAGCGTAGCATTGCGGGATAAAGTAAGGGATATAGATAAAAACAACCACGAGATAGAAGATCATAGATGTGATGGTAATCCATTTCAAAAGAGACTTGTTCTGTTTTATTGTCGTCTGCACGCCACATACGAATGCCACGTACATGGCGCTCAGAGCAAAGTATAGTGCTGGCAGTGCCAATCCCAAGGCTCTGTCTACGATGTAAGGATCCCCTAGCTGAGCCCAGACAAGAGAAACTATTGCTACAACAGAGAATTGCATTGCAAGGGTGTCGGATACCAGAAAATTAGAGAGTTTGTCGTCTTTGGCCAAAATGGCCATGCCCGGGTTTGGATCAGAGCTGTTAAAGCCACCTGGTTTTGGTTCAGAGCTGTTAAAGCCACCTGGTATTGTAAATCCTGCAGCAAACGTTACGGTTGCTACAAGAGCTGCCACCAGTAGAAGAATATTGATTTGGTCCTTGTATTTGTTACCACCATCACTTCGATGCTGCTCAGATCTGCTTCTTAATGTCATCCCACTCAGCGGCATCCATGGATAATCATCTGGTGAGTAAATGCGCAGCAACACCACCAACGTCATTCTCTGCATATCCCAAGAGAGACTAAACAAAAGCAATAAGCTCTACACAATTTGCTATATGAACAAAAGGATTTCATAAGTTATACCTCCTGGAAAATGTAATTAGACTGAAGATTTAAGCCAGCAATATCAATAGGCCTCAAGCCATCTTTGTTCTGTATATTCAGGACTTTTGGGTTGGTCAAAGCAAACATAGTAAGCTTCCTAAGAGTTCGAGGGCGCCAATGTATCGTGGCTAGGTGCAAAGGTGTATTCCCATCCACATCTTGCTCCTCAATCAGATGATTCTTTGTATCAACTCTCTTTACATAATCCAAAAGAAAAGATTTAGCTTTGCCACTCTTTGCTGCGATGTGAAGAATGTTCTGACCTTGTTTGTTGAGCAGGTATACTGAATCTGGACAACGTTTTAGAAACTCTTCCACAATATGCATATGACCTTTCTCTACTGCCATATGGATTGAAAAGGAACCATCACTGTCGCACTCATAAACATTTGATGTTGATCTGTCTAATACTTTGCATATTCCTTCATAAAACCCTACAGATGCTCCAACCGAAAGACAAGTTCTCCCTTCTTCATCTCGCTCGTTGATAAGACCCAGGTCGTCATTGAGGATTACATCAAGAACATCTGCCCAAACAAGTATGAAGTTCGTTACCAGAAAAAATAGAAAAACTAGGAACTTCAATTGGGCTGTTCGAGCAAACACATCTGAACATCTCAATTTGGAAACATACATGTACTCTTGGCCTTTAGAGCTGCGTGTACAAGCGATTTTCTCCCTTCCAATTGTGAGGCTAGGTTAGAGGTTTCGCCCTGGATGTTATTACCAGGAAGTTCCAGCATTGCATTCACAAGGGATAAACTACCAACTTCTGTGGCCATATACAAGGGAGATACTCCATCTTTATTCGCAAGAAACGAAGCACGTTGGTTCGCTTTCACTAGACAGGCAGCTGTCTCCTTTTGGGGTGTTGATGTATCAGGAAATGAACTGGCTCTGAAACGGTGAAATGCGGATTGTACAGGTCTGATATGTTTCTGATACCTTAAAACCTAAGACAGAAAAAATCAATGCATCAGGCTCATATAAGAAAAGATGCAAGCCTGGAATACAATAGTATGGGCCCAATTCAGAATTAGGTATTGAAATCTTGAGAGAGAATGATGCAATACTATAAGTATTGCTTTCATGAACTATGCAAAACTAAAGGCTGTTCCTGAGGCCATATAAATATATATGTGCATTACCTCTGGTATTTTATGGAGGTCTTTCAAGGCTAAGTGCAGAGGAGTATCTCCATTTATGTCCTTGAGAACATATATATTCAGTTTCTCTCTCTCTTCTTCATCAAAGAGTTTAGCTGAGAAAAATGTTACTGTCGCAACTAGTGCCTCAACAACAGTTAAATGACCAGCATGAGCAGCGACATGTAGCGGAAGCTGATCCTTTGAGTTTTGCTCCAATAGAAGATATGGACATTCAGAAACTATGCCCTTCACTAGTTCAAGATGACCCCAAGCTGCAGCAAGGTGAAGAATGGAATCTCCTTTATCGTTCTTGAAATATGGAATCGGTGTTCCGTAGCTTTTCATCTTCTCCAGAAACTCTCTGTTTCCACCTCTCATTGCGCTAAAAATCTCCGGAGTCATCGGCACATATTCACNTGGAAGGTTGTAAAGATCAGACAATATGAGGTTGGTAAGGTACTCTGGGACATCCTTAGGTAGCGGCGTGCGTTCTCCTCCACTTTCAAGGAAAGCTCGTGAACTGAGTGTGCGTGCGCTTTTGCTTATCAGATTCATGGGGAACCATCTTTGTTCCCGTTGGTCATCTGCTGACCCCTGTGCCTCAATCCTATCAAGAGCTGCTTCAGAACTGTCCATCTCAAACCTAAAGCATCCGACAAATTCAAAGAAAAGTTTGAAAACACAGATTTAAGTTCCCCGACCAAAAAAAAGGAACAGTCAATGTAAGCTGTTGCGCAAACAGTTGAAATTTAAAAGAAAGTTCCAGTTTCACGCTTAAAAAGGCAGACTTATTTCATATATTAGCAAGAAGAAGGAAGATAGAAGGAGACTTACAATTGCTTGACCCCAACAGTGATAACACCTACAGCTTCCTTCACTTAAACCAGGACTGGCATAAAGACTTCAGTACAATCATGTAGAGAGGTCTCACGTTAAGATGTTAGAAATAGGGGAAAAAAGAGGTAGAGAACAAAATCTATTGACTTGACCAATTGGATTGAAAGGAGGAAAAAGTTTTGAACCCCAAAGGCCTTCTCAGGACCACACAAAAAAAACACCATTACTGAAGATCTGATGATAAATGAAGGGAAAATTTGTCATTAATACAACAAAAAATTTATAATTTACAAACTAACCAAAAAATCTAAATTCAAAGACACATCGTGCCACATACCTTTTTTCCCAACTTTTTAAATTTTTTTTTTTTTTGGTTATTCACCAAAAAAGCCCATAAATGAATCGCATGCTAAATTTGACAAATAAGTTGAATAGGGTGAATTTGGCATCTCAATCAAGCCTGTAAACCAGCCCCAAGCATGATGAATTCATGACACTGACTTCAGAAGCCAATAAGCCTAGATGTATCGGTTTACATAATCACAGATGATGTCCTGAATTCTAAGCCACCTCTAACAAAAACAGAGCTGAGATTTTTAAAAATGGCAAGTACATATTGAGCTAGTAAAGAGCATGGATTGGAATCTGATCCTTCCAGTTTGGCTCCAAAAGAAGAGATGGGCATTCAGAGATTATGCTCTTTACTAGCTCAATATGGCCAAATGCAATGGTGTGTTTCCATTCACATCTTCTTCATTGATCAACTTTTCCTTGTTCTCATCCTTATAACATCTTAAGATAAACTTGACAACTTTGAGTTTTCCATTCTTTGCTGCAACATGAAGAATGTTTTGACCGTCTTTGTCAAGCAACTCAAGTGCGTCTGGGCAATAACATGTTATTTATGTAAAAGCCCAATAACATGTTTCAGTGTTAATTCATTAACACACACGACGTCGTATAAGTCTGCTGAGAAAAAAAACTTGTTCTTGCTTGATCAATTTGATCCCCCACAAAGATCATATAACTTGTTCCACACGACTTCTCAAATGCCCCAATCACTCTGGCTTCTCCTTCTGTTGAAGAATCTCAAGAACTAAAAGAACAACTAAATGCAACAATCAATCGCAGTCTGAGGAACAAACGGTACATAGAAAGTTGACGACAAGACCATAAAAAGTAAAAACACAGTGATTAAACTGGTAAGAAACCCTAAATAATTGCAACTCCCTACCTGGTTAGAGTACAAGGAAGAAGCTACTTCTGGTCGAGAAATGATAGGGAAAACCTAAAATGAAACAGAACTCCTACTCGCTTTTTTTATGGCACAGTGTTTTTTTACAACCAGAAAAGTAGACGACAAAACCTACAATGATCAATTAAAAAAAAAAAAAACCTAAAATCGCTGAGATACTAGTAGTATTTCAAAAAGATTCATCTCTTTTAAAGGACTTTCGGCTTTTCCACTTGCTCCACGGACTTAACCTTCTTCACACGCGTGTGAGTGTCATCATCTTCGTTAACAAACCACACAAGAAGACCAAGATAAACATCAGTGAGTTGTTGAACCAAACGAATACTAAGAACCTGAGGGATAACGTAAGGTGCAAGTAGACAAAACACCACAAAATAGAAGATGGATGATATAACGATAATGACGTTTGTAAGTTCCCTGTTTTGCTTTATTGTTGCAAGAACTCCAGAGAGAAATGCTGAAGCCATCGAGAAGAGGGCGACGAAAAGTGATGGCAGCGCCAAATGGAAAGCTCCGTGAATAAGTTCTGGATCCCCTAATTGCGCCCAAATAAGAGCAACTATTGCTATTACTGAGCTTTGCATTGCCACAGTGTCAAAGAAGAGAAAATATGAGAGTGTGGAGTCGTTTGCTAATACTGACATGCCCAAGTTTGGAGCAGAGCTGTTAAATCCACCAGGCATTGTGAAACCTGCAGCAACAGCTACGGTTGCTATAAGAGTTGCTACTAGTAGAAGAGCACTAACACTATCTTTGTATTTGGTAGCATCTAAATGCTCTGATCTGCTTCTTAGCGTCATTCCACTTGTCGGTAACCAACCAACGCCTCTCGGTTTGTAAACGCATAGCAATACCATCAATGTCAACCTCTGTTATAACAAGAAAGGCAATAAGCTTTATATGGTTTTGATATTGGAACACAAGGGACTGTATAGGAAGAGATATGTGAAATAAAATACCTCCCGCAAAACGTAGTCAGATTGTAGTTTTAACTCCGCGATATCCAGCGGTCTCAATCCGTCTTTGTTCTGTATGTGGAGGATTCTTGTTTTCTTCGAAGCAACTATAGTAATGTAACTAACAGTTCGAGGACGCCACATTATGGTAGCTAGGTGCAAAGGTGTATTACCATCCACATCTTGTTCCTGAATCAGATAGTTATCCGCATCGAGCCTTTTGATATCAGGCAAACGAAATGATCTAGCTTTCCCACTCTTTGCTGCAATGTGAAGAATGTTTTGACCTTGCTTGTTAAGCAGCATTTTTGAAGCTGGACAACGTTTCAGAATCTCTTTCACAACTTTCCTATGACCTTTCTCCATTGCCATATGGATTGGAAACGAACCATCATCGTCGCATTCAAAGACATTTGAGGTTGATAGTTCTAATAGGTTTTTTATACCATCATAAAACCCTACAGACGCACCAACCGATAGACAAGTTCGTCCTTCTTCATCTCTCTCGTGGACAAGACTTGGGTCTTCATCGAGAATAACTTTAAGAACATCTGCTTAAACAAGTAAGAACTTCAATTAGGTTCTTCTAGCAACGAAATCTGAGCAGCTTTATTCGGAAACATACCTTTATTTTTGGCCTTTAGAGCTGCGTGTATTAGCGATTTTCTCCCTTCCAACTGTGAGGCTAAATTAGAGGTATTGCCCTGGACTTCACCAGAATGTTTCAACATTTCACTCACAAGAGATACATTACCAGATTTAACTGCCAAATACAAGGGAGATATTCCATCTTTATTTGCAAGAAGTGAAGCACCTTGGTTCGCATTCACCAGCCAAGACGCTGTCCCCATCATATGCGTTGATGCGTCTGAAAATGAAATGGTTCTGACACGGGGAAACATGGATGGTTGGTATCTAAAGCGTTTCTGATACATCAAAAGCTGAATAGACACATCAGAAAATACATGTAAGAGTGGAATCCAAACAACAACAAAAAAGTAACATATGTGTCTTAAACTTATGCACAATAATACCTCTGTTTTTTCATGGAGGTCTTTCAAGGCTAAATTCAGAGCAGTATCACCATTTATGTCCTTGAGAACATATAGATTCAGTCCCCTATCTTCTTCAGACATTCTAGCTGAAAAGTACGTTACTGCCTCAACAAGAGCCTTGACAACGGCTAACTGGCCTGCACGAGCAGCGACATGAAGCGGAAGCCGACCTTTCCAATTTACTTCCAAAAGAAGAGATGGGCATTCAGAGACTATGCTCTTTACTAGCTCGAGATGACCCAAAGAAGCTGCAAGGTGAAGTACAGTATCTCCTTTATCAGTCTTGAAACATACCATTGGTGTTGTGTGGCTTCTCAACTTGTCAAGAAATTTTCCATTCCCGTCTCTCATTTCGCTAAAGATTTCCGGACTCATCGCCACAGCTTCGCCGGGGAGGTTGTAAAGTTCCGAGAATCTGAGATTGGTAAGGGACTCAGGGAAAGACTTTCGTGTAGGTAACGTGGCGCCATCTCCTCCGCCTAAACAGAGTGTGCGTGCGCTATTGTTTATCAGATTCATAGGGAAGTATATTCGTTTCCGTTGCTCGACCGTTGACCTCTGTGGCTCGATTATATCAAGAACTGCTTCAGAACTATCCATCTCAAACCTAAATCATTTGAAACACACATTTTTTTAAGTTCCTCGACCAAAAACTAAAAGTCAACGATTCCAAGAAAAGAGAGACTTACCAAGTGGAAGAAGGAGATGAGAAATGCAAGAGGATTTGCTGCTAAAAAAACACTTTTAACGTCTCGAGCCATGTGTACGCGCAGAGACATCACTGTTCGAGTGTGGAGGTTATGTAATCTATAAATTAATGGAAGGTCTTTCTTTAATCAGAGATAATTAGAGGAAGTAACCAATATTGATTTTTGAGACAGGAGGAGTCATTGTTCGCATCTTCTTTTAGCATCAAACCTGACTTTGTCTCAAACAATGGAAAAACAAAAAAACAATGCAACTGAAACAGAGTGTTTTTTATATGACATCTAAAGATGTCCTGAAAAGCGAGAGATTAAAAAAAGACCAAACTTGCTTTAATAATCGAAGACTTTGACAAGTCGTCTCCTAAAAAAAAAAAAAAATCTAAAACTTGTAGTTGTCGGAAAGTGAAACTTGATACTGTAGCGTAGGCAACTACCCAAACCAGCCACATACCGAGAAGATTGGAATGAAGCATTAATTTCGGAGAAGATTGAATTTGAATCCTTTGAATCTCCGAAACGCACGCGCTAGGGTTTCGCACGAAGAATATGGTGGTTGCACTTGTGTTCACATTGATCAATTGAAATGTCAGAAGCAGAACATCTCTGTATGTGTGTAACAAGTCAGCTCTTAGGTGTTGTCTAATAACAATCCTGTAGTATCCAGTTCAACATCTCAAAATAAACAATGCTCTGGTTATATATGTTTATTGTAAAGGAAATAGACTAAAGGCTGAATCCTGCGCGCAAACGTTTATTACAACAACCAGAAAAGTAGACAACAAAACTAGAGTGATCAAATGATATGCTTGCTTGCTGGTGTTTCAGAAAGATGTATCTCTTTAAACCTCTTTCGACTTTTCCACTTGAATCCCACTTGAGGATCCCACGGACTCCGCATTCTTTACATCAGAGCCAGAGGTAGGATGATTTTCATCATCGTCTTCGTTAACTAACCACAAAAGAGGTAGGAGAAAATTACAAGTGAAACGGTAAATAAAAGGAATGCCAGAAACCTGCAGGATCACGTAAGGGGCAAGGAGGCTGAAGAAAAACTCCCAGAAGATCATAAATACAAAGTTAATGGAGCGTTTAATATATTTGTTTGCCATTGTTGTAGCCAGTAATCCATAATAGAATGCGAACGACATGGAGCAGAGAGCAAGAAAGAGTGCTGGTAAAGCCAAATGAAACGCTCTGTGCGCGAGATCTTCATCTCCTAACTGTGCCCAGATAAGAGCAACTATCGCGACAAGTGAGCTATACATTGCCACAGAATCAGAAAAGAGAAAATCTTTGAGCATTGGGTCAGCGATCAAAATGGCCATGCCCGGGTATGGATCATCGCTGTAAAAGCCACCTGGCATTGTAAAACCTGCAGCAAACGTCATGGTAGCTACAAGAGTTGCCACCAGTAGGAGAATGTTGACTCGGTCTTTGTATATATCACAATCACGTGGTTTCTTTAATCTACTCTTTAATGTCATCCCACTCATCGGTAACCAAGATATGCCTTTTGGTTTGTAAACGCCTAGCAAGACCATCAATGTCATTCTCTGTTTATTCAAGGGAAATGCAGAAAAGCAAATAAGCTTTATATGGTTTGATACTGAGAGAAGAAGGACTGTATAGAAAGAGATATGTTCTACCTCCCGGAAAACGTAGGCATGCTGCAGTTCTGCCTCTGCAATATCCAGAGGTCTTAAGCCCTTAGCGTTCCGTATATTTAGGACTTTTGTTGTGGTCGAAGCAGGACCAGTAAGCGTCCAAACCTTTCGAGGGCGCCAATGTATCGTGGCTAGGTGCAAAGGTGTATTCCCATCATCATCTTGCTCCTCAATCAGATGGTTCTTCTTACAGAGATTCGTCATATCAGTTCTAGCTTTCCCACTCTTTGCTGCAATGTGAAGACTGTTCTGACCTTTTTTGTTAATCAGCTCTATTGAATCTGGAAAACGTCTTAGCAGCTCTCGAACAACATCCTCATGACCTTTCTCCACTGCCATATGAATTGGATAAGAACCATCTTTGTCGCATTTAAAGATGCTTAATGTTGTTCGGTCTAAAACTTTGCATAGTCCTTCTTTGAACCCTACAGATGCTCCAACCGAAATACAAGTTCGTCCTTCATCATCTGGTTCGTCGACAAGACTCAGGAATTCATTCAGAATAACATCAAGAACATCTGCCACAAACAAGTAAGAACTTCCATTGGGTTCTTTGAGCACAGAAATCTGAAACAGCTGAATTTGGGAACATACCAGTATTCTTGGACTTTAGAGCCGCGTGCACAAGCGATTTTGTCCCTTCCAATTGCGAGGCAAATGTAGAGGTTTCCCCTTGGACGTTATTACCAGAGCGGTTCAACATTGCATTCACAAGTGGTAGACTACCAGCTTCAATTCCCATATACAAGGGAGATATATTATCATCATTCGCGAGAAACGAAGCACCTTGGTTCGCATTCACCAGGCAGACAGCTGTTTCTATCAAGCGTGTTGATGCATCAGGAAATGAGCTGTCTCTGATACATTGTAGATACCTAATAAGGCTGCAAACAGTTGGGACTCCGAGGCGATGTTGATTTAACAAGGACTACAAGCAAAACATATAAAACACATGGAGTAAAATTAGTACAAGTCAAGGTCCAGGTGCAGGCATTGATAACTTGAGAGAAAAATGATGCTATAAGTTTTACTATCATGAACACAAGGTTTTGTGCTGAGAGATACTATGAACTAAAGAATGTCTTCGGGGTCATTTAAGTTTAGCTTAAGTCAACTAATTGATATCTTAACAGTGATAAAAACTTTACCATAAACTCCTCATAGACACAAAATCTCCAAAATAATAATAATATCTTCTCATCTTATGTGTAATAATACCTCTTTTTTTCATGGAGGTCTTTTAAGGCTAAGTGCAGAGGAGTATCTCCATTCTTGTCCTTGAGACCATATACATTCAGTCTCTCCCTATCTTCTTCTTTAGACACTTGAGCTGAAAAAAATGTTACCGATGCAACAAGAGCCTCAACAACTGCTAAATGGCCAGAACGAGCTGCCACATGAAGCGGAACTTGATTCTTCGAATTTGTCAACAATAGAAGAGATGGGCATGCAGAAAGTATGTCTTTCACTAGCTTAACATGACCGAAAGCAGCAGCAAGATGAAGAATTGAATCTCCTTTGTCATTCTTGAAGCATGCCATTGGTGTTTCCCATCTTTTCATATCCACCAGAAATTCTCTCTTCCCATGTCGCATTGCGCTAAAGATCTCCCCATTCATCTCCATTGATTCATCAGGGACCTTTTCAAGATCCGACAATGTGAGATTGGTAAGGAACTCTGTCCCAGATTCGGTGTCTACCGTAGGTGGCATGGAGCCACTTACGGTATCTTTGCTTTGAGAGAAACGGCCTCGTGAACAGAGTTTCTCTATGAGACTCATAGGGAAGTATCTTCCTTGCCGTTGGTCACGAGACACATCGGTTGAGCTCTGTGCCTCAATTCTATCTAAACCTTCTTCACAACTGTCCATCTCAAACCTAAATCGTTCGAAAACACAGTTTTATTTTCCACCCAAAAAAAAGTCAACGATTCTAAGAAGAGAGGACAAAGAGAGACTTATTACCAAATGGAAGAAGGAGGAGATCAGAGAAGTTTGTCCATTTATGTAACCATAAGCCATGTGCGCGCAGAGAGGTCGCCTATAAAATAATGGAAAGTCTTTCTTTAATCAGAAATAAAGAAGAAGGAAATATTAAACCTTTGCTTGTAACAAAAAGTCAATTCATACAGAGTTTTCATTACAAACCTGAACATGTCATTAAATTATAATTGCAGACTTTGAAGTCATGTGCTTGCAACTGTGATAGTTATCTAGAGCTGATTCAGAACTGTCCATCACAAACATAAACCAAATTCACAAGTTGTTACAAAAAGAGAGTTTTCAACAACACCAAGTAGAGAGTCGAGGAGAGAGAGACTTACCAAGTCGAAAAAGGATGATCAGAAATGCAAGAGGAGTTGTTACTAAAGCTTGAAATTGAGAGTAATTAATTACTCTATGTTCGTCTATTTATGCAACTCCATGTCTCAAAGCCATGTGCGTGTTACTGTGAGTATCATCAAAAGCAGAAACAACAAGGTCTTAGTTTAATCGCAAGTAGACCTTATATGTAGAAAAGTAAATAATAATCCTCTTTATTCCCAGTTCCCATGTTGAAATTGAAAGAGGTTACACATCAACAGAATAAGAGAGTAAAAGAATCACACCATTGAAGCAAAAAGAAAAGTTGGAAGTCTTCAAGATAAGAACACGCTTTGCGACTCATTACACGACACAGTAGTAATAAAAAAAAAAACAAGATACAATGTAGTTTTGAAGGCAAGCTTAGTGAAACTATTCACCTATGACCAGCACCTCAGAATTCAAACTCAAATGGAATTTGATCATTTTTCAAGTCTTGATTGATCTGTAACCAATAAATGACCAACGGAATTACAAGTATGAGGCGAAGGGTAAGTGATGATGAGCAGAAGAAGAGCCATGAGATAGAAACTACCTGAGGCCAAGACAAATATAGCAAGCCAATAATGCTGTACAAGCCTGCGACATGGCGATGATAGAAAACTCACTTCTGGAATTCTCGAGCCCAGTTCACCAGTCAGTCAGAATTGAAAATCAGTAAAACAGGAGCAAAAAGATCGAGACGAGGCCATAGCCATGAGCAGGTGAAGAAGATCCTTTATCGACTATCAACGGTTTAATTATTCATTTAATTAAACTTCACCGTGATGATTCTCTTGATTTCCGTTTTAATCTTCCCTGGATCTTCAATTGCTACTGGTTACTGATTACTCTCACTCGATTGTGATT